AGAGTTTATATATGACTAGCAATGCCCGCGGCTCCACCCGCGTTTAGATGACCAAAAACCAAATTCTTAGGTTTTACATATTAGTACACCCTTACATTGCAGTTTTTGTAATTTTTCACAGAAATGAGACATTTTCTCGCGGTAAAAAGTACCCTAAACGTTGACCCGGATAACCAGCTATCACCATACCAAATTTCATCAAAATCCGTCCAGTGGTTTTTCTATGATGCGGTAACAGACAGACAGACGAAAATTCTAATAACTATAGATTTGGCCTCTATATCGATAATAATGTCTATTTCAATTAGATTTTCCAAAAAATATTTAATGTACAGATTCGGCTTGGTTACAATTTTATTATATGTATGTATAGATAATGTTCAATGAGCATAAAAACATTGAAATTGTTTCAATTAACAACAAAATTATTTACTTGAAAACTCAGTTTGACCACGGTAATGTTACGTATGCATTACATTACCGTGGTTTGACTGACATAACTGAAAGAAGATGAAAATAAATTAAGTTTTTAGTGGTTATATTTTAAACTGTTAGGTGTCTATTGTAAAAATCGTATGAGATCAGAATATTTAGTTATTTTTTTATAATTACAGACACTTCTATTTTATTTATGAACATAGGTATAAGTATAAAGCATTTTATCTCAATCTTACAAATTTTTACTTATAGATAAGATTAATTGACAAAATACTACAACAGTCTACAATACTACTAAATACCAGTATATGAAATATATTATTTATTTTTATTTTCTCAATAATAATTATGTTGACAATGTACTTAAATAATAAAAAAAACTCTTTTTTTGATCACATAACCGAAACATTAAAGCATCTTAAGTCTTTGATTCTACAAAAATAAATATAGGTAGATCTACTTTGCCCTTCTCCCTTCATATAAAAATATAACATGAATGTCATCTTAATTTAGTTACGAGATATTTCGAGGACATTACATTTATAAAATCATATTTGATTTTTAATCTGTCGACTAGTGTTTAATTTTAATCTGTTATGATCCTTTTAAGTAAAGATAAAAAATATTTATTTCAGGGAACATAATTCAATTTTCCGTGCTTTATAAAATCACAAAATTCCACGAATAGGTATCCCAGAGTTGAAATCGTTTCCAATCGGTGAGACGAAATCTGATAAACAACCTGCAAATATAAAGTACCTACGACTTACATAATAAATATTCGAATCAGTTAGCTTTGTAACTAACAATTTTCTATACACGTCGGGACTCTTGTAATAAAAATAAAAAGATATTTAAATCGCAATTAAATCTCTTTTCCAATTTTTTCCGATGCAATAAATTGTAAATAATCGTGTACTTATCGAATGTTCCGGAACAAAATACCTATTTATGTCTTAAGAAATCAATATACGAATATTTTTTTTAAATACTGTAAAATTCTCTTCTCAACAAGACTTATTTAAGTGTGAAGTGATACACACACTAAGAATATTATGATTCGACCCGATTGCCACTAGTAAGAAGGAAAATATAATTAAGGAAACCTGCATTTCTGTAAGACCGTGTTTGTAGTATTCGAATCCAAACCAAATATCGAAAATCGTGCTAAACCTGTTAACTAATATTATTTAGTTCCTACTTTCCTTTCGTCTCTCTTGAAGGTTCCCAAATTGCCAAATTATTTAAAAATATGTGTTTGATTTCATTGCAGCTATTTTATTACAAGCTTTAAAATGAAATGTGCAAGGTGAACGTACGTTTGTCCCGATTTTCTAACAATTTTTATTATGTGATTCATCCCGCTCATATTTCTAAATTTGAATATAAAGGTATTTGTACTGTATCTTGTAGACTGATGTGTAGTTATTTTAGCTACGCTACCACAAACTGCAACTGTTTATACTGGAGATGTTTTTGGCATGATTATCAAAACATCATAAATATTTAGTATCGCGATTATGTATTTATATTTTATATTATAATTGCTAGTAAATCATAAAATTTTAACTCAATATTAAAATGTTATGTATATTAAAGTATTTTAAAGAAACTGCTTTTCCGTTATGGGAAAATCTTTTGTCATTCCCAATATCATCAATAATATATTTTTATGATATGTGGTATTTTATTAGCAGCCCGCTGCCAATTAAATTTTTGGATGCGCGATAAAACTGGTATAAATGGATAGAGAATAGTTAAACAAATTAATTAACTATCTATATTTATTATTCACATATGCTAATTATATTGAAAAATAAGCCACAGGCATAGAGAAATAGGGCACCATGCTTAGGCCCGCGAGGCCCGAGGCGAGGCGAGGGCCTAGGGCGCCAAAATTTTTAATGAAGTCTTATGTAGACTGTAAGACCAAATTTTAATTTTTTTTTCTTGCGCTCTGACAATCTAAACATAGAACCATTTTAAGGGTAGAACTTCTTTGTTAAAATTAATCTATATATACTGTTACGAAAGAAAAAAGGCGCCATATCGACCTGGGCCTAGGGCGCCATCGAACTTAAATCCACTACTGCTCTAGTTTTACGTTTCTAAAATATTTTGAGGTAAACATCGTTTAGATGACAACTATGAAAACTATTTGAATTAAAGTGAAGGCTTTAAATTACATAATGAGTTTAATGCATCAGAAACATAAATGTGAAAAGTATCCATATGTTCCTTATAAAAGAACTTGCTAAATAAGTAGGTACTAGCCCCCGACGGATATTCTTGGTTTTTTTTTATTAAGTTTATAGGTAGTTGAATATGTTATTGCCACATCTACAATCATCGAGAACCAAATACGTAGGTACGTAGGGAAATGCTATGAAAATTGATACTCTATTGTTCACTTATATGACCGACTCCGCGAGAGATCAGCTCTACTTATAAAATCTTTTTACGTTTATTATCTCGCGTTACATTTATTTTTTAAGTCGGGGGTTTTTTAATTATTTTATCCTTTTTTAATTACTTTTTAACCGTCGTGGGTTTTTTCAAAATTTTTAATTTTGTTTTTTATTTCAAACTTTTTAGAGAGCATATAATTATATTATGTACATAACGTGCCGCCTCGGGTGTTTGCCCGAATGACCCTATGGAAGATACGCCTCTGCTACAGTAGTATGTACCTTGGATAAGTAAATTTGCAAATAAACTTTTCCCGAGGCTTTGTTGTAACTCAACTCGATATCATTACGTAGAATGAAAATAATAAGTATAATAATTTTCAATGTCAACTAAAGAAAGCAAGAAAAAAATGACAATACGTTATATCAGTCTGTTCCACTTTCACGCCTAAACAAACGGCTTAACGGATTTCAAATAATTGTCGGTAACATCTCACATAGTCAAGTGTGTTTATCTTATCACACAAATTAGAAAAATTACAGTCACGCAAGAAGTTTTGGTTTAATACAAACAAATGTTTACTGCAGCGCTCCCTGGTGATTTGTCACCGTAACCATCTCTATCTAAGAACATACAACAATTAAACTCGAACCCATCTCTGATGAAAACTGCATCAAATTCGGACTAGTTCCTAGTTTTTGGACATAAATGTCTTTAATATATAGTAGCTAATATAAAATATATTACTGCAGCGCCCTCTAGTGAGTTACTACCGTAACATCTATTTATGAACCCTCACTAATCAACCACAAACTGCATCAAAACCGGACTAGTAGTTTTGGTTTTGCACAAATAAATGTTTACTGCAGCGCCCCCTGGTGAGTTGTAACCGTAACACCTATCTAAGAACATGCACCAATTAAACCCGAACCCATAACTGAAAACTGCATCAAAATCGGACTAGTGGTTTTGGAGAAAAATGGCAACATGGATTTGCACAAACAATGTTTGCTGCAGCGCTCCCTGTTGAGTTGTCACACTAACACCTATCTTAGAACATGCACCAATCAAACCCGAACTCATGACTGAAAACTGCATCAAAATCGGACTAGAAGTTTTGAAAAAAATGGCAACATGTATTTGCACAAACAAACATCCTTTCACCGAAAACGCATATACCGTCTCCGTTCCGTCGTGGATAACAAAAATGTTCTTCATTGGTTTTAAAAGAAAATTTATTAAGTACTAGCGACTCACCTTCGCTTCGCTCAGGTTTATCCCTAGTTATGTCTTAATTTTTTTAAGCGACACCCTAATTCTTTTTCTAAAATAAAAGTAGCATATGTTACTCCCTATAACATCAGTTATCTTCCAGTGAAAGTCAAAATCAGTCCAGCAGTTTCAGAGATTATCCGGAACAAACAGACAGACAGACAGACAAAAATTAAAAAAATAAGTTTTCTTATAAGTACCTTATTGTACCGTATATAATTTCATATGCATTTAGTAAAACGCTGTTATTTTGACATTACAAACAGACACTTCAATTTTATTTATATGTATAGATTCGTTGTTATTAGAAAATGCGCTTTGGCAAGTTTTCTTTTAGTTAACTTACTCTGAGAAATTTCCAATTTTTTATGTATTAATTATAAAAATGTAAGTAATATGTAATAACAAAAATATGAAAGAATTTTTAATATTAAATATTATGGCACACCTATAAGCCACAGAATAAATAACATTGAACATTGAATTTTAAATATTACATGTCGACATTTTAATAATATGTTGTTTCTAATAAATTGTTATTTTAGTCTCAGTTCAGATTAATTTTTGTACGTATTTCCTCGCTCGTATTATACCCACGGCAAGCCTTGAATATTTCTTATGAAAGTGCTACTGTACTTTTACATTTATAATCTTTACCCTCTGTGACAATGACACAGTGACTGTCAGTTTGACGTTCTTGACATTTACGAAAAAATCTCGGTTCTCGAAATATTACGTTGTTTATTGCTATTTGCTAATAGCCAATAGGTTTGTTTCTGATAAAGCAAATAGTATTAACTACGCTATCTAATATTGGCCTATGTCAGTGTTTTCATGGTTTAAGGGTATAATGTGAAAATAGTTAAAATAAGTTTTCTTTCATGGGTGATCGACAGAGAGTTTTAAGAGCTGAAGATATGGCCACGACCAGTACAGCAGTGACAACAGTGTCGCCCCAACTACAAGAGGTAAATAGAAAAACAACCTTATCAACTTTGTTTGAGTAGGTAATACTCAGCCGTATAAATATTTTGTAAGATATCTCTTAGTTCAATACTGTAAGTTACTTTAGAGCAGTGTTCGAGATATTTGCAAATATCGTTGCAATGTTTAACATAGAAAGGACAGTAATGAAATTTTTGAAACCATCAAAGTGTTTTTTCATGCCTCAAAAAATTATAAAAGCAAGATATTCAACAAAATGTGATGGTTTACTCAATGATATCAATGTAATTGATTTAACGCGAGTTGTTGCGGGTCCATTTTGTACTATGACTTTGGGAGATTTAGGTGCGAATATAATTAAAGTGGAAAGTTTAGATGGCGATGAAGCTAGGAAATGGGGTCCACCTTTTATTGAAGGCTCAAACGATTCCTACTACTTTTTATCAATTAACAGAAACAAGAAAAGTATTTGTATTGATTTAAAAACCCTAGAAGGTAGGTAATTGGTTCAGTATAACAATTTCCTTCCATTTTTTTAATATTTCTGTTCAATAATATTATTATCATATACATCATCTTTTTAATATATATTTTAACTTATCAATTATATTTTTAGGGAAACAAATATTATATGATCTTGCAAGAAAATGTGATGTAGTAGTTGAGAACTTTTTGCCAGGCAAATTAGATAAACTTGGTATTGGTTATAACAAGTTAAACAGTATTAATTCTAAGATAATATATTGTGCTATAACAGGCTTTGGGCCAAATGGGCCTTATGCAAGAAAGCCTGGGTAAGATTTAAAAAAAAATTAAATAAATTATTTTTTTCTTTAAAATAATTAATAATTTTGTTTACACAACATGCATTTTTTTAGTTATGATGTGATTGCTGCAGCTATGGGTGGCTTGTTAAATTCAACTGGTGAAAGAAACGGCAACCCTGTTAAGCCAGGTGTTGCTATTACTGATGTAACCACTGGTTTACATGCTTTTGGAGCTATAATGACAGCATTGTACTATCGCAATAAAACTGGACGTGGACAAAAAATAGATTGCAACCTACTCTCTACTCAAATATCAAGTATGATAAACATAGCTAATATTTATTTAAACTGTGGTATTGAAGGAGAGAAATGGGGTACAGCACATGCCAATTTGGTACCTTACCAAGCATTCAAAACTAAAGACGGAGACATTGTCATTGGTACAGGATCCAATGCTCAATTTGTTGATTTTTGCAAATTAGTCAACAGAGAAGATTTGATAGATGATGATAGATTCAAAGATAATGCTTCTAGAGTTAAGCATCGTGATGAAATCATCAAAATTATTAGTGAGATAATAAAAACGAAAACTAAGAAAGAGTGGTCCGAGATATTTAAAAATGCAACATTTCCCAATGGCCCTGTTAATACAATGAAGGATGTTTTTGATGATCAACATGTTAAAGAGATTGGGCTGGTGAAGGAGTTACCGCACGAAGCTGCTGGAGTTGTGAAAACTGTGGGACCCCCTACATTGTATTCTGAAGGAGGGAATAGAGCGAGAACAGGACCCCCTATGCTCGGACAACATACTAGAGATATCCTGTCAAACTTCTTAGGTTACCACAATGCCAAAATAAATGGTTTGCTTGAACAAAGAATTGTAAAATAAGTGACAATCAAATTATTGTACTAAAAAATGAAATACGATGTGGTTTTTTTATTTTTTTTTGAAATTTTTTAGAATTTTTATTGTTATATTATTATTTATATTGTTATATTAAATTTTATGTAAATTGAAAAAAAATATGTGTTACCATTTTCTTATATTTATCTCCTTTGATAATTTTTATCTGGAAATTATCAAAACTAAAACATTGAGAGCTACAAAGGCTTCACTCAACAGTTATTTGTTTTTATTGTAATGATAAGGTTTAAGTAAGTTTTTTATTTAGAAAGAATAAAGACGTTTTATAACTGGTCAGGTCATTGTTATTTACTTAGAAGGTCACACATTCAATAACTGCCTGCAGCAAAATTGTTTTAGATATTTTAAAAAATTGTCTAAATCTGGTCAATTCTTAAACAAGAAATAAAAACAAGTATCAATGATTACAAAAAAAGGCTAGGAAATGTAAATAAGCTAGCTGAGCTTACTGTGCCAACTGCCAATGGCCATTAGGCGATTAAAAAGAAAACATTTACATGTTGTCAGTTGTAAACCAAGGGTTGTAACACCTATTGCACCTAAAGTATTTTTCCCACTGGGGAACTTATTTTTAAATGACCAAATTACCCTCCATGCATCTGCTTATAGTTATTTGACTGATTGCATGACTACACCCATAAATAAATAAAAAATATACTAAATTCAAATTCAGAATATTTTATTCAGCATTAAATTATTCCAATTTTTTACTGAACGTCACGAGTCTACTATCAATACATTCTTATTATATTTGTATTTCTGCTTTTATTCTTACCTTACTTTGCTTTTTTACTCACCCTCACTCCGCTCGGGTTAGTTCCTAGTTACGTTTTAACGTTTAGTATAAATTTCTTAGAGCTGAGAAATATCTAGGATAGGGATAATAATCCCGAAAAAAAATCCTATATGTTGACCCAGATAACCAGCTATCATCATACCAAATTTCATCAAAATCTGACCACTGGTTTTCTTGTAATGCGTTTTCAGACAGACAAACCGACAGACAGACAGATAAAAATTCCATAAACTGTAGGTAGATTCGGCCTCAGTATCGATAATAATATATTTCAATAAGATTTTCCAGAAAATATTTAATGTACAGATTCGACTAAGTTAGAATTTTATTAGGAATACATATTATGTAGGTACATATAGATGTCTAAACTCGCTCTTCCATCTTGGTAACATTTTATTTTTTATCTAATCTGTCAAACGTAGCACTTCTTGTAGTCAAGTGTTAGTTTTAGACTAGGTAGAATAAAATATCAATCTAAATGTCAAGATTTTTTTAAATTGTTTTTTAAATTATTTAATTTCTTATTAATGGTTAGTTAAAAAAGCAAACCTTAGATAAGAATATTCTTAGATCCACTGGCATTTCATCGGCTAAAGAAATGTCAATATTATATTTCTTTGGCGTAACAGAACAAAAATAGCTAAAGATTTCATCCCGTAAGTATGCAGCTAACTGCATCATGTCGCTTTTTGGCTGTCGGTGTGCGCGCGCATCGTAAAAAATTTAATCTCATATTTTTACACAGTTTTATAAAGATAGGTAGATTCTATTTATATACCTATGTTTTCCTCAATTGGACCCAGTTATGTAAAAAACAGCCATGTGCGTAAAAGTACGAACAGAGTTATAAGCATTTTATTATAAAAAATAAAATAATTATAAAAAATAAACAGTACTTATATAAATATTGTTCAATTTTAAAATAACCAGAAAAACAAAACATAACCCCAAGTGCAACTATCTATAGAAAAATGCTTATAACTCTGTTGGTGCTTTTACGCACATGGCTGTTTTTTGCATAACTTGGGTCCAATTGTGTTATTTTTATAATACATAGTACATGCACATAAAACGAAATAGCTAATAAGTAATAACCGATAAACAGCGATAGCAGTGTATAATTAAAGCTCATATACATTTCTGTTACGAATATAAGTACTCCATGTAACCTGATGGTAGTTCCAAAATAAATGGATGCTTTTTCATTTCATTTCTGAACGTCAATTCATGACTTCATTTTAAGTATCGGGGAGAAACTATTTGTTAGATTTTATTATTATTAAATTTAATTGTATTCATAAATATAAAAACTAAGTAATATGGATTATTGATCTGAAATAAATTATTATTATTATTATTGTTATAGTTCCTTACGTTAGGATTATTATTATATTTATTTAATTTCATAAGAATTTATTATTGTACTAGAAGTTTCGAGTATTAATGTCGTCATATCCAATCACAATTAGTTTGAGCGTTTGTTTGATACTAATGTGAAATGAATTGTATTTAAAACATTCTTTAATTGTCAAGGAAAGTATTCTCGTTTTAAACAAAAGATACGAACGATGTTAAATAAACGGTCGGTTACAGGCGGAACACAGGCGAAACTGAAGGCTAAAACTAGTTATGATGTTTTGTTATACCTACTTCTATACATATAATAAAATTGTAACTAAGCCGAATCTGTACATTAAATATTTTTTGATAAATCTTATTGAAATAAACATTATTATCGATACAGAGGCCGAATCTAAAAAAGTAGTTTTTGGAATTTTTATCAGTCTGTCTGTCTGTTACCGCGTCACAGGAAAACCACTGCAGGGATTTTCATGAAATTTGGTATGGTGATAGGTTATCCGGGTCAACATATAGAATACTTTTTACCGTGGGAAAATGTCTCATTTTTAAGAAAAAATACAAAAACTGCCATGTAAGAGTGTACTAATATGTAAAACCTAAGAATTTGGTTTTTCGTCCTCTGAACGCGGGCGGAGCCGCGGGCAATGCTAGTCAAATATCTATCTATATAAAAATCACATCGATCCCTTCGTCCGTTACAGCATGGAAAAATGATAAACAAACACACACTTTCATTTTAATCAGTGAGTGGTCAGAACTAATAGATAATACTTGTATCAGGGGTCATCAGAACGCGTCGCAGTGATAACACTCCGGCCGACGCGCACGCAACAAAGGAAGAAAGTCGTCTGGACAGAGGACACTGTCGATAATGAGAATATGAATAAGAAGAAATCTAAATGTTAGTAACCATTTTTCATATTCTATTCAAAAAAAATATATTAAAAATTGGTTTTATTTTTTAAAGTTATAACGATTATTAATTTTGCTACTTTATTAATTTTTATTCGATTGATCGAAATCGCGGCATCCTGTCCCCAATTGAGAAATTATTTCTTTATTTTCTTTTTCTTCTGTAAAGCGATTTTCGTCGAATTAAACGACGCTTAACTCAAAATTTTCCCCTGTAAAAAAAAGAGTTACCCATTTTACGTATACAGTATATTAGCAAACGTAGTAAATAAAATGAAAGCATTTTCTCCTCTAAATAATATAAAATTTTCTTCGGCACCAAAATGCTCTGTCATTATTGATAGAATATCTTTTACTTCTTTCACAAGTCATTTAAAATATTTTCGTTATTGATCATGTTTTTATTTTTATCTCGTATATCGATTTTAAGTATCATCCCGTCCCTTATTGTAAACTTAGTAAGAAAAGTTGTTAAACTTGAACGGTTTAAAAGTATAGTGTTATGACCTCCTATTGGGTAGCTATTTTGAAATCAGAGACTGACATTTTAGTTTTATTTATAAGTATAAGCGACACACCGTATCGTTGCTCGATAGGTGCCTCACACTTCAAAACTAGGCTGTGTAGTAACTTTCATCCAAATTCCACTAGCTAAACGTGAAGGAGTAACAAACATAAACACGCACGCACGCACGCAAGCACGCACGCACACACGTACACACGCACACACGCACATACACACACACGCACATATACAAATATACGTACATACAAACTTTCTCATTTATAATACAAATAATAGTCCGATATATAGATTATAAATATAGTTAATGCATACGAATACTACGTTTATTCAAACTATCTGCAGGTTGTTGTATATATGAGAAGCCGCGCCGTTTCGACGAGTCGGATTCAGAAGAGAGCGACGACGAGTGCGAGCATTGCTTCGGCCACGTCGAGAGAAAACACAAAAAGCATCAGCACCCTACCTCAACTGAACTTCAGGTATGATCAAAACTAACACTAGCGACCTGCCACGACTACACATAAGCCTCAGCCCAAAAAAAATACCGCCATTAATTGCAAGACTTTTTCAATTTTGGAATAAAAATTACCCTAAAGTACCATATAATTGGTTAAATTCAGGCCGTTTTTTCCATGCGGGCCCCTGGGCACACAATAATTTAGGGCACTTTTTGAAAGATGAAAAAATTTAAATGATAAAAAAATGAAGCAAACTACAAAAATTTAAAATAATGAACCTCGATGGCGTAAAGAAGTCAGCTAAAACGATTGAACATGTTGACGAAGGAATATAATATTATTCAGTGTAACTACAGAGCAGTGTATTATAAAGTAAAAGTTGAGCTTCTAACTTTTCCACGTAAACGAAAATGTTAATTGTGAGGCTAGGGGCATGTGCCCCCTGTGCCCTTATGGTAAATATGGAAATGGTTAAGTTGCATTGAGCCCCAAACATTGGAGTTGGTAAAAGTGTATTTTTTTTAAAGTATACTCATATACTATAGGTTTTTAGACACTTGTGCATTTAAAAAAATTTACTCATTTACAGGAGGCAACAGAACAAACAGCATCGATAACGCTACAGCCGAGCGAGCCTGCGCCGGCGCCGCCCGATAAGTCCATGGACGTATAAAGTGTAGATAGATTAAATATCATAAATTATACCGTTATTCAAAAACAAAATACTTAAATTTGTTATGTGACCCTCACACCCATTTAAAGTAAAGCTACCGTATATGTTATTGTTATTTACTTGGTCTAAGCATCGATCCAAAAAGTACTAGATACACAATCCCATGCTTGAAAAGTTGTCTTAAAACTGGCACCAATTGTGTTTAGGTAATTATTCTAGTTGAAATAAATATACAACAATGTAAATTGAACCTTAAATGCAATGTTTTAAGTTGTTTTCAAAATAAATTAAAAGCGCTCTCAAATGTATAATTGAGCGCTCATTCGGTGAGGACATTTTTTGTCGCTGATTGTGTATCTAGCACTTTTTTGAACGACGCTTCTAAGAGGTAATATAAACAGCGTGTCAAAGAATAATATTCTTTAATAGTAAACAAATGACAATTTGTATACTGAGTGATAAATAAATAAATTAAAATATCCAACGCGACAATTGTAATGAAGAAAAAAAAATTGAAATAAGCTTTAAAGAGAAATAAAGCTTTGGTAATACTTTTGTAGTTTACAAAAGAATTATTTTAATTATTCATATTTTATTCTTAAAAATTTTATATTAATTTAATTAATACAAATTTAAAATATCCCTTATTCTTGACAGAATGTAATAGTATGGCAAAATCGAGAATAGTAGCATACACAGTAAGTAATTAAAAATCGGTCAAGTGCGAGTCGTATTCGCACGCGAAGTGTTCCGTACCATAGTAAAGGTATTTTTATTAATATGACTTTTACTCTATGTATGTAGTATATTAATTTCGATGATCGATTACGAACGTTAAAAATTGTTTCTTGTATTTTTATTTATTATTTGTTGTTATATCGGCAATAGAAATACATACTATGACAATTTCAGCTCTATCTATTACGGTTAATGAGATACAGCCTTCTAACAGACGGGCGGACAGCGGAGGCTTAGTAATAGGGTTCCGTTGGCACTTTTCGGATACGGAACCCTAAAAACTAGCGCACACAGACAAAAATACTATTAATATGTTTAAATATATATAATAACACACTCTTGTTGAATTATTGATTGGAATATAAATATATGTATTTATGTGTTATATATATAAAATGATATATAGATTTTTCATATTGGTTGTTAAAAAGTATGTATAGGTATGATTGAGACTACTTACTAAATACAAAGTCTATATATGTATATTCATGTCGATAGTAGCAGCCCAGTAGTAACGCGTTCGTTTGAAAATCCCAAGGGAAGCAGGTTCAAATCCCGAGGTGAGATACCTCTGATATTTTCATCTGTAGTTTAGTTTCTTTCTTTGAGGAATTCGGATTGCCCTAATAAATAGAATTAAGATGAATGAATGAATCTATTGGTGTTATGTTGGAATGAATGAAGTGCTGCTGTTGATTTTCTCTCCGGCTCTTCTCAGCAGAACTGCTCGCCGAGTATGGAGGGTACAGGTAAAAAGGAGTCACTTATATGGGAGATTGTATGCTGAAAATAGATGGCGCTGGCGGACGAAAAACAATCGATATGAATTTAGCTGTTGTAGACGGAGTGAACTGTGCCGAGTTCAAAAATTAAAAATTATTATTAAAGTAGTTAACGAAATACCGGTATACAAAACCTCAACTATTTACGTAGTCTTATATAATTTAGTAAATATAACCATCCTTGTTTATCTCTCTTTCTCTCTCTCTAATTACTTTTGGGCGCTTCCTTTGAAATGTATCCTACGCGACCGCAGCGCCACGCGCGCCATCGGACGCGTTTGGCAGACACTTTTCCATACAAAGAGATAGTACCCCTTACTTCTACGCTCCATATTTCTGAGCCGGTTGTAAATTCTGATTGTTTAAATAATATACGTTGAATCCAAAAGTGCCTGTAAATGTCTATTCAGCAATGGACGTTTTTTTTTGGCTTGAACGACTTTGCCTTGTACTTAATAGGCAAAGTCGACTGAAGATTAAAATCCTCACAAAATAAAAATATATAAATTATAATACATTTAATTAATTTAAAGGATATTCTGTTTATCTATCCGTCCGTATGTTTTAGTGTTTATTATTCCTTCAATATTGGATTTCACAAGGAGTACGCTAACCGTAGGCCCGATCCACACTATCGCGCCGATCACAGTCTGTTTTCGGTTCGATATCGTTCTGGTAAAGTTTTTATACAAGAAACGTTGCTGGAGTGTGATTCGTCTGGAACTTGACTCTTACTGATGGTGTGAATGCATTCATTGTTTATTGTATAAAAATACTTTACCGGATTACTAAATACTTTATCGAGAACGAGCCGTGAGTGGCACTATAGTGTGGATCGGACCTAAGGGCGGTCTGTTAATTTTCGTCTTGGTGCTAGTAAAGTTCTGAAGTCGAAAATATTGTAGTTTCTTAGACTTACGCGAATATTTGAACTGTTAAATGAAACTATCTATTCGAAACCCGAGTCTTTCCCGTGATCATGTTGGCTGTAAAGCTTTTGAAACGTCGGGAAACACAAATATAAAATATAGCCATGACAGAGTTCCGAAAAGATTTTTCATATAGAATAGGTCTTTTCAAGATAACATTTCAAATCGAAAATATAACTTTAAATGACACAACTCAACACTTATAACATAATATTATAATATACGGTAGCATATCCATGGATATTTTATTAAAATATCAAAATAATTCTAAATTAAATGTTATAGTTAAAATATGCATTTATTCTTATACATGGTCGTTGAAACCATTTTTTAACGTTAAGAAATGCATGTAGGCTCCTACATACAAACTACCCACTAAAACCCAACAAAACCTTCCCCCGTCTTAATGGGGCGTCGCACGATCGCTTACGCATTCAACTACGACGCCCCGACGGCAGGTCTGCCGAAGCAGACCACAACAACCATGGGGTTGCTCCAAGGTCCACTCTGCTATCAGAGGAGTACCAATAGCAACCCACATGGTACACCGCCCACCGAGGTGGACCTCCATATTGTTTTTTTTGCTAAATAAGGTTTAATCAAAAATTATTGGATCGATAAGTTAAAGCAGTGTACAACCAAAAGAAAACTATAAATGTTTTTAGTACAATTTTGTATCTCGCTAAAATAACCATCAAAAATGTTATTTATGTCGATAACATTATCACTTCGTTGTAAATGGAACTTAAGGCGCTCTTTTCCAGAATCGCCGCTCCCTAGGTGCCAGCGCGCGACGACCCGTTTCATTTTATCTGTTTTTCGCCTATTGCCATAAATATAAGTTAATAAATGAAAATCTGTTTCTCCGAATACCTAAATAATGACAAGCTAAATCTATGAGTATAACTTTCATATCATATAATAATGTATTTTGTGTGTATCAGAGATTTTAAGGTATTTTTAGACCTATCTTTGAATTTTTTTTCTATCGAGTGAACTATTGCCAATCGTGTTTTGGCCTCTCCGGGTACTTAGCTATTATCCTTAACTATAACATGTATGAATTTTAGAACTATATTTATTATATTCGTGGTTTTATAATGGTTCAAAATATCCTAAATTCTGGAAAAGAGCGCCTTAAATAAGGTTTAAATAACATGTTTTTTTTCTATGCCTTTCAAGCCTTGCCGTTTTTCATAAACACACAGACCGTATAATGGATATATAAGGAAACTGCAAAGCCAAGTCTTTGGGGAAAATACTTGGGTGTAATGGAACTAACTAGATGACTCAACTGTGAACGCTTCCATGAAATATCAACGAAATGTACTCAGTTGTATGAGGTAACAGTTTTGTGTTACGTCTGATGAGATTGCGAGCGGCGATTATCAGATCCGTAGCCTTTTTAACCGATTCTCAAAAAGGAGGAAGTTATATTTGGCCGGTATTTCTTTATCTCATATTTAGAGTATAAAAACACAGATCATATAATACTATACTAGTAATAAAACTATACATAAAGCATCCAGTTATTATACAAAAAAATTCTTAATCAAGATGTGAATGAGAATGATGTGTTATGACGAAATTTAACTTATATTTCTATGTAATATTTTAAGGAATTGATGTTATTGTGATTAAAAAACTATATATTTTTATCTTACATCAATTAAATTGTAACTGAATTTATATTAAATATAATAAATATTTCATTAAAGTTAAAGTAAACAGTATTAATATTAAATAAAATTGTTCAGATTTTCCCATTCTTGGATCCAGAACTTGATAGATATTGTTAAACTCTTAACTATTAAGATATTAAATGAAAAATAAATATACATATTGTTTCATTTCTTTATAAAAAAAACTACGAATAACGAAATTAAAATATATACACGTCTAAGAGTTACAAAAAATATAAATTGACTTGAACGTTTAGGAAGATATTAGTGATTTACACCGGCTTACCTTAGGTACAAAAGTTATCTGAAAAGACATTGTTTTCATATAGGTGTAACGATTGGTTATCGCGGAGCTCGCCAGTAAAGCTCCCAGTCGACAATTTTTTCCGACATCAACAATCATCGGCAAATTTCAGACAATTTATACTAAACCGTAATGAATTATACACTAAAACCTTCTTAATGAATCACTCCGTATATTGGTGAATACCATTTGAAAATCTGTTCGGTAGTTTTTAAGATTATCGCGTTCAGACAGACAGACAGACGCGGCGGGGGACTTTGTTATATAATTTATGTACTTCATATATTTTTTCGTAAGTATAGTCTAGAAATAAAATACATATATTTCAGGATTATAAAGAAACACAAATATTAAAATGGTTAGTTTTAACCTGTTTCAACAAATAAAGTCGGTTGTGATTCAGGTCGATAGTTTTTGAACGCTGAATACGAATGAATTTTACGTCTCTATCATGTGTTAAAGACATGATAGAGACTTGCAATTTTTTTAATTTTTGCAATGAAGAAGTAAAACAAATGTGATCACTCAAAAATTGTTTATTGAAATGAACAAACAACACGAT